CCACCACTGCTCTGACCTCCTCTTCCACCCCACCCTACATTCCTCATACTGAAGCTCCCCCCACACTCCGCACCTTTGACCTTACTACCATTGAGGAAGTCTCCAAGATCCTCTCTGATGCCCACCTCACCACCTGCCCCCTCGACCCTATCCCCTCACAACTCCTACGACCTTCCTCCTCCTCCATCCTACACTCCCTCACCCACATCTTCAATCTCTCCCTCTCCTCAGGCACTTTCCCCTCCCCTCTGAAACATGCACACATCACCCCCATACTTAAAAAGCCCTCCCTGGACCCCAATGACCCGAACAACCTCAGACCCATCTCCCTGCTCCCATTTACATCTAAACTCCTCGAGCGCCTAGTCTACACCCGCCTATGCTCTCACCTCAACGACAACAACCTCCTCGATCCCCTACAGTCCGGCTTCCGTCCCCTACACTCCACCGAAACTGCCTTACTCAAACTCTCCAACGACCTGCTAACCGCCAAAGCTAATGGCCACTATTCAGTGCTCCTACTCCTTGACCTCTCTGTGGCCTTCGACACAGTCGACCACCCCCCCTCCTCCTCAAAAAACTACACTCCCTCGGCCTCAGAGATTCTGCTCTCTCCTGGCTCTCATCCTACCTGTCACAACGCTCCTTCAGCGTTACCTATAATGCTACCACCTCCCCTCACTCCCCCTCCCCCTCTCTGTTGGGGTCCCTCAAGGCTCTGTCCTTGGGCCCCTTCTCTTCTCCATCTATACCTCCTCCCTTGGCCAACTCATACACTCTCACGGCTTCAACTACCACCTCTATGCCGACGACACACAAATCTATCTCTCAACCCCCCACCTCACCCCCTTGGTCTCAGCCCGAATCACACACCTACTGAGCGACATATCAGACTGGATGTCGCTCCACTTCCTTAAATTGAACCTCTCCAAAACCGAGTTTCTTGTCTTCCCCCCAGCCCGGACACCACCCCCCCTTGATTTCTCCGTCACATCCAACAACGCTACCATCAAACCCGCCCTGCAGGCCAGAGTACTGGGTGTCATTCTGGACTCCAACCTATCCTTCCAGCCCCAAGTCCAATCTTTAACAAACTCGTGCAGACTCCACCTCCGCAACATCGCCAAAATCCACACGTTCCTAACCCCAGAAACCACTAAACAGTTCATCCACTCTCTCATCATATCACGACTCGACTACTGCAACTCCCTCCTCACTGGCCTGCCTCGCCGCTGGCTATCCCCGCTTCAGTCGATCCTGAATACGGCTGCCAGACTCATTCACCTTTCCAACCGCTCTGTCTCCGCCACCCCCCTCTGCCATCCCTCCACTGGCTTCCGATTGCGCAACGGATCAAATTCAAAATCCTAACGCTGACGTACAAAGCTGTCCACCATACTGCCCCGAAACTACATCACTGACCTAATATCCAAGTACCGCCCGCCCAGCACGCACACTCTGCTCCTCACAAGACCTCCTTCTCTCTAGTTCCCTGGTCTCCTCCTCCCATGCCCGCCTCCAGGACTTCTCCAGGGTGTCACCCATCCTCTGGAACTCCCTGCCCCAACCCATCAGATTATCACCTACTCTCCTCTCCTTTAGGCGCACCCTGAAAACCCATCTCTTCAGGGAAGCCTACCCCACCCCCTGCTAACTTGCCGACCTCCTCCACTCTTCCTACCACTCCATCCCCCACAGCTATCTCCTCCTGTGCCACCACCCCCTCCCTCCTAGATTGTAAGCTCGAAAGAGCAGGGCCCTCGATCCCCTCGTGTATCACATTGTATTGGTATTGTTCTGTCACATGTTCTGTCCCCCTTTGTAATGTACAGCGCTGAGCGAACTATTGGCGCTTTATAAATACTGTATAATAATAAGAAAATAATAATATAAAGTGTACAAAATGACACTTCATTCATGTCACTGCAAATCAGCACAGTGCTCTGCACTTGCTGTACAGTGACATGCGGGACCATGCTGAGCGGTGAATTATGCAAATGTGAAACACTGCGTTCAGGTCTGAACATGACACACAGCACGCTACTGTTTTCTGTGTGTCATTGCAGTTAACTGTGTGTATGGGTTTAGTTCAGTGATCAATATGACTGATAGGATTCACATTTCACCATTAAAGGATAAGTGCACGTTTGGGAACATGTTACATGTTCCACCCATTTTTAAGGTGGAACATATAACATGTTCTTGCTCCTGCAGTAGCTTCCTGATCCCCTCCCCCTGTGATTTTCTCCCTGTACCCGCTGTCACTATTTGCCACACCACCGCATCATTCATTCACAGAGTTCTGAGAATTTATTAACTACAACTACCGACAGCCTTTGCAGCTGACAACTTTTAGTTCTCAATGAACTACTAGGTCGCTGTTGACTGCTCTAGGTAGTTCATTGATCCTTTCTGTCCTTGTGCAACTGCCTGCCCACTGTATGAGCAGACAGCTTACAATGACAGTCTGCAGGAGCCCTGCATTACACCAGTGATCTGCTGATCATGGGTGCAATGCTTTCCAGGCTCCTACAAAAAAAAAATAGTAATTGCACATTTTTTACCTGCAAAAATGTGCATTTATTTATTTTTTTTTAAAGGTGAAACTTATCCTTAAAATGTGTTTTGCAATGCAAGTAGTGCAGGTACCGGAATCTGACCTGATATCCTCCTTTGGACATCAGCAAAGCTCAGAGCATGAGAGGAAGAAGTATCACAAGGAAAAAGCATAGTGAAATGAAGAGAGAGCAGAGTGACAATGTGCTCATCACAGACTGGGGCAGGTTTAGGACAACCCAAACTCAGTGGAATTGGAAAAAAAAAAAACGTAATGTGGGGAAATACCTAGATTGAAGCTGAATATTGCAGCAAAAGCTGGTTTTGTTATCATATATTTTAACGGACTATTCATTTTATTGCATTATTCTTGGCTGGAGTTTCCTTAAGAATTATAAAAGTAAGCAGCAATTACTAAAGACATGCAAACAAGCAGGGATAAGCCACAGTGCTGGATTTGCCATAGAACAATTCTTGAGGTCCCTTTCACACTGCCCTGCTATGGGTTTGCCTGCAGCATAGGTGCAGCACAGTGTACCCAGGCATTTCCATAGGTGTTCTTGGTACGTTTTCAAAAAGCACACCAAAATATGCAGCATGCTTGACATTTGGTGCACTTTCAGAAAACGCACCAAACATTCCCAATCTAATACAAGTCTATGGGTAAATGTGGGTAACCCATACAAAAAACACAGGTACACTGTGCTGCACCCACACTGTGGAGAGACCACAACAGGACAGTGTGACTGCACCCTAAGCTGAATTAGCACTTTCATATTCCAGAGTGAGGAAAATTTGGATTTTTTCTACATGCTTATCTGTAAAAATCCATTTCTTGGAGTACATCACAGGACACAGAGCAAGCTATTCATGACTATGTTGGTTATATGCCACCTATAGGTGAATGGACACTGACCGACCAAATCAGAGAGGAAGTCTTCCCCTATATAACCCCTCCTACACAGGAGGTACTTCAGTTTTTGTAGAAAGCAATGAAATTCCAGAAAGAGGGGAGGGACCTCTGTGTCCTGTTATGTACTTCAAGAAATTGATTTTTCTACATACTTACCTGTAAAATCCAATTTTCTTTATCGTACATCACAGGACACAGTGCAGGCTATTCGTGACTATGTGGGATGTCCTAAAACAATAAGAAATTTTGAGGGGAATGTAACACCATGATAGCCACCACCAACAATTCCTCAAGACCTACTCAGCCGTCCCAAAGACGCTGCTGCCAAAGACAGAATCCTCTGCAGCTCCGACATCCAACTGGTAGAACCTTGTAAATGTGTGAACCGAAGCCTATGTAGCAGCCTTTCAAACCTGAGCAATTGACAACTGATGGCGGATCACAAGATGCCCCCACACTCCTGATAGAGTGTGCTCTTACCTAAAAGGGTGGGATCTTATCCTTCAAGCCATAGCCATGAATGATTAACTGATGGATCCAATGAGAAATAGTTGACCTGGAAGTCGCCTGCCCTTTCGGGCCCTTCTGACACAAACTAGAAATCCTGTTTGTTCCACAAACTTAAGTAAATACTGACCATCTGAAGTACATTCAGTATACAGTGATCTTTCCCTTGCCGACTGTGAACTAGGAAAATAAGAAAGGCAAGACACTCCTGATTTAAGTGAAAACTAGAAACCATTCTAGGCAAGAAGATGGATGAGGATGCAACGTCACCTCATCATTTTGCAAGACCAAGAGCGGCTCCTTACATGAAAGAGCCGCCAGCTCTTACACTCTTCCTGCTGAAGTGAAAGTAATCAAAGAAGCCACCTTCTGAGTCAAAAGATTAAATTCCTTTAATTGGTTCAAAAGGTGGCCTCTGCAAGAATAGCCAAGATCAAGTTCAAGTCCCAAGGACTCCAGGGTGGCCTGACAGACAAGACCCATCAGTGTTATCTGTACGAAGTACGAATCAAGGAGTGAGAAACAATAATCTCTGGAAAAAAGGGATAGAGCTGAAATTTGGCCCTAAATGGTACCTAAGGTCAATTCCATTTCCCCTCTTGATAGGAGAAAAGAAAAAGCTTCACAGCAGGCAAATAAGATTTACAGGTCATGTAATGAAAGCTCACTGAAGTCGGCTTCCTGGAGCTCAACACTGTGGAAAAACAGGAACCATGAACCACCAATCCTTGCAGACCTGGGCTTCAATAGCCCATCCTTCAATGCTAGCTATCGTAAAGCAGGATACATTATTGCACCCAAGACAATAGGTCTGGGTGGACCGGAAGTGTCCAAGGAGTGACCCCTGCCAGACACACTGTCAGGAATGGACTCGCCACTGGTGGTGGGACTCACCTGCCTTGTGGGCTGCAGTACCAGTGCTGGCTATCGGGTGCTCTCAGCAGCCAGAATCTCACTCCTGCAGTCAAGCCAACACCTGAGGCTGATTGCAGGAGGTGTATTTAAGCAGGACCAGGCCTGCAATCAGTGCCTTGGTGTATTGTTCCCATGAGCCCCTGTGTCTGAACCTGATCCTGTCATCTGCCTACCTGCCTGCCTTCCTTCCTTCCTTCCTGATCCCTCTGCCTGACATTGATAGAACTCTGCCTGCACCGACCCCGGCTATTCCCGACCACTCTCCTGCCTGCTCCTCTAGTACCTTGTCTGCCTGATTGTTCCTGACCCGGCCTGTCTGACTACGCTCTGCCTGCTCCTTTGTACCTTGTCTGCCCAATGGTTCCTGACCCGACCTGCCTGACCACTCCACCTCACCAGCCCTGACTACTCTTGCCTGTGTGCTTGTACTTTCCGTTATCAGTTGAACGTTTGGTTTATATTGTGCGTTTATATTTTTATATAGCCTCTAATAAATTATATTGTTTACACCATACTTGAGCCTGCATTTCCCTGTGTCAGTCCACACATTTCTGGTCATACCTGGAGCCCTGACACACGCTTTGTCGGTGTACCAAGCCCTCCAGGGCTAGACCATCAGTGGGTCTCCTGACCTGGACACAAACAGTCTAACTTGTTGTAAGTCATGGAAGTCAGTAGATCCATATCCAGAGTTCCCCAATGGCAGAAGATTGATGAGAATGTCTTGGGATACAGGGACCACACTGTCAGTATCAGCCGCTGATGACTAGGGAAAACCCCTTGCCAGTTTCCTATACCTGGAATATGTACTGCCGACAGAGATGGCACATGCTCTTCTGCCCCAGACAGAATGTGGTGCACTTATTTCGGAACCACACACCACCGCTGGTGCCGCCCAGGTGGTTGATATAAGTCACTGCCGTAGGATTGTCGGACCAAACCCTGACCACAACCTGTGCAACTGGTTTGTCAAATAATTCAAAGTAAAGTGAACTGCCCGAAGTTCCAATATTGATGGGCAGTCTTCCTACCTGTGGAGATCAAGTCCCCTGAACTGTAGCCACCTCCAAACCAGCCCCCCATTCAGAGAGAATGACATTAGTGGCTACTATCTTTCATATCACTGGAAGGAAAATGACCCCTTCTCCAGATTCTGAACAAACAACCACCAATTTGGACTTTGCAATACCCTGAGGACAAAGCTCTCTGGCAACCCAATGCTTGGACCTACATGAACCAGACAGATAGAATGTTCCTTTACAAAAGACCTGGAGTGGAACTGCATGTAGGAAACCTGCTTCAATGTAGATATAACTTCATGCAGAGACCAATTGAAGGATACCTTTTGCTTCTTACTTTGTGTGCACAATTATTAGGTTATTATTAAGTGAGTGCTTTGGCCAAATCATAATTTGTATGCATATTGTCCAACTCCAAGCTGTATAAACTTAAATGCTTAATCGATTTATGCATATCAGGTGATGTGTATTTGTTTAATGAGGGAAGATGTGGCCTAAGGAGATCAGCACCTTATATCAAGGTGTTCATAATTATTAGGCAGATTCTTTTCCTCAAGCAAAATGGGCCAAAAAAGAGATTTAACTGAGTCTGCAAAGTCAAAAATTGTAAAAAGTCTTTCAGAGGGATGCAGAACTCTTGAAATTGCTAAGGTATTGGGATGTGATCACAGGACCATCAAACGTTTTATTGCAAAGAGTCAACAGGAAAAAAAGATTCAAATTAATTGCCCAAGATTTGTGGAGAATCAAACTTGAAGTTATTAGGAACCCATTATCCTCCAGTGCTGTCATATTCCAGAACTGCAACCTATCTGGAGAGATATGGCCAAGGTAGAGAAGCCTGAAACCCGACCACCACTGAACAAGACAGATAAGTTGAAACATTAAGACTGGGCAAAGAAATATCTGAAGACAGATTTTTCAAAGGTTTTATGAACTGATGAGATGAAAGTGACTCTTGACAGACCAGATGGATGGGCCTGTGGCTGGATCAGTCACGGGCACAGACCCCACTCAACTCAGACGCCAGCAAGGTGGATTTGGGTTCTGGTATAGGTTGGTATTATTACAGTAATAATACCAGCCCATACCAAAACCAAAAATACTTCCTTGCCTAATAATTGTGCACACAGTATACATCCCTGCTTTAAAGCTTGGAAATGACTGCTCCCTGAGCACAGGAACATCAAGGTATTTTAATATTGACACCCCCCCTGTAATCCTGGAAAACCCAGTACCGGGTTATGAGCTTTGAGAACACTTGGGGGACTGTAGCCAGCCCAAAGAGCACTGCCTCAAAACAAATAATGACGATTATTTACTGCAAAACGGAAAACCTGGGCCTGAAAAAAGTAATGAAAAAAAGATACGCATCATTAAGGACAATGAACCCCCGAAATCTATCTCTAGCAGAGAGGCCACCACTAATCGGACCGACCTTATCCGAAACAGAAAGACATCTAGACTTATATGTCTAGTGTTTTGAGATCTAAGATAGATCTCACGTCCCTGTTTGGTTTTGGGCCTGGGAACGCGTCGAGCATCTCGAGTCTCCTCAGAGGCTACCCTAGCATCCTCTGTCCGAGATACTTCTCAACACACAGCAGCCTCAGATTCTAGAGGTTAAAAGCTTAGTTTCTGAGTCCAGACTAGATCAGGCACTTTCCCGGTAATGCGGCCACAGTCCATTGCAGCCCCATTTACCATAAATAGCTGCAATGTCAGACCAACACAGTGGCCCAGATACACCAGACACCACTGGTCTACCAGGAAATGTGAATATCGCCAAATTACCCCCAGAGTCCACTGGACCTGAGGGTAGTGCACTTGCCTCCCCCTTCTGGGACCTTTTAATTGTATAACAGGTAAATAAAGTAGCAACTATATTTGCCAAAACCTACATATGCACTCCCACAGGGATGCAGGTCCATAGCCCCATTGGTCTATAGCTACTCAATCATGCAGGTATGCAAGCCTGCAGAAGTATGTAGTTCAATGGAAGTACAAGTATTCAGTTTATGCCTGTACAAGCATCCAGTCCATACAAGTCAAAATACTGTATGCAGTTTATGTAAGTATGCATGTAAGTATGCCAATCATGCAAATATACCTGTCATGCAAGTATAAGTATACAGTTATGCAAGTATAAGTATGCAAGTTATGTAATTATGCATATAAATATGCAAATATGCAGGTCATGCAAGTATAAATATGTAGTTCATGCAAGCATAAGTCTGCAACTTATGCCAGTATAAGTATGCAGTTTGTGTAAGTATACATGTAAGTATGCAGAGCATTCGAAATGCAGTTCATGCAAGCACAAAAATGCAGTTCATGCATGTATAAGTATGCAGTTTATGCAAATATAAGTTTGCAGTTCATGCAAGTATAAATCCAATAATTATGCAGGCATACATGCTATATTGTAATACTATACTGCCCCACTCCACTTTCTAGAAGCATATAGTTTCATCAAAATGTGTAAAAATCAACTGCGCTTGGCCCCATACTAGGTTTTCAGGACTAGCCAAGCACATATGCATCAAACGCAGTCTGAATGCAGCCGCTATGCTACTTCAGTGCACTCTAAATGCAAGCTCCTGTAGATCAAATGCAAGCTATTTTGGAGACACAACTCCTATGAGTGCACTGATACCCGAGCAGGGGTGTATCAGAAAATAGCTGTAAAAACCCCCTGAGAATATGCTGACTAATGGACATTTCCTGTCTGATCCCCCATAGGTAGTACTCACACCTCATTATCCAGCCATAAACTTCTGAGTCCCAGCCTTCTCACCTTCATCCTTCAGCCCATGTGTGACTTCAATCATAAAAAATGGCCGCCCTTCTACTTTCTGCCTCTCTACTGTGCAAGAGTAGGCTATACAGAGCGGAACCTCTAGTGGCTGGAGGAGAAAACTGCAGTCCTTCTGTAACCCACTGAGCATGGCCTGGCCAGACCAAACAGCATACTGCACCCAGTGGCCAGGAGAAACTTACCATTCCAGCCTTAGGTCTCTGAATTATAACAGGAGTCCAACCATTACCCATCACAGCGGGCTCTGTCATGCAGACCTTCAAGGACTTAGTACCCCTTTCTGCTTTAGGGGCCACTGCCTTGGACCCATACAGCACCCTGATGGAAAGCACAAACACTGCACAGGGTTCTATTACTCAGGGCCCAGCGCCATATGGCTGCATTACAGACAAAACTCCAAGGATTCTTCTTATCCAGCGAGGCTTGGGAACCAACCATTTCGGCTAACAGCTTTTTGAATGGATCCAATTGAAGTCCTTGATTCTCACCAGAATCATTCCAGACCATCAAGTATGCCCAGAGCCCATACAGCCCATGTTCAGTGACCATCCACCTTACAGACACTGGCAATAAAACTGAAGTACTTCCTCTGTAGGAAGGGTTATATATGTAAGGACTTCCTCTCTGATTGGCCGGCTAGTATCCTGCGGCATCCACAGCGATCGGTGGTGCGCTGTGTCCCTGGGATCGCAGTAAAGAGCCAATGACACAGGCTCTATCATGTGGTCAGCCATGTCCAATCACAGCTGATTGCAGATAAATAGGAAATGCCGGTTATTGGCAGTCCTCTCCTCATGCTGACAGCGCATGAGGAAAAGAGAGCCAGTAAGCGGTATTCCTCAGAGGGGACATCTACACTGATCATCAGGGCACTGATGATCAGTGTAGCCCCATCAATGCTGCCTTTCAGTGCCCATAATTGCCACTTGTCAGTGCCCATCAATGACACATACCAGTGCCTATCAGTGGACATCAATGCCACATATCAATGCCCATCAGTGCACATCAATGCCTCATATCAGTGCCCATCAGAGCTACCTATCCGTGCAAGTCAGTGCTGCCTATCAGTGCCACCCATCAGTGCCCATCGGTGCCGCCAATCATTGCCACCTATCAGTGCCAGTCAGTGCCGCCTATCAGTGCCCATCAGTGCTGCCTATCAGCTCAAATCAGTGCCACCTATCAGTGCCACCTATCCGTGCCACCTATATCCGTGTTGCCATTTCAGTGCCCATCAATGATGTCTGTCAAAACCCATCAATGCCACCTATCAGTGCCTCCTCATCAGAATCTAGCATCATGCCAATTAAACTCCTGGTATATTGATCTGGTCAGTTAGTTAGCAGACGGGGTTTTAATCAATTTCAGCTGCTTTGGTGTTAATGAAATTAACAACAGGTGCACTCGATGGGCGGCAGTGAGATGCCCCCCAAAACAGGAATGGTTTTACAGGTGGAGGCCACTGACATTTTTCTCCCTACTCATCTTTTCTGACTGTTTTACACTAGTTTTTCATTTGGCTAGGGTCAGTGTCACAACTGGTAGCATGAGGCTATACCTGGACCCTACAGAGGTTGCACAGGCAGT